ACCTAGTGCTTTAATGCTTTAAATCCTAATATTAAAATAGGTATTACCTCCTTTCTACTCTCGATTGATAGGAACTGAGCATATTGAATAAAACAACACTTGCACTAGGGGCAAGATAGGCACTTTATAAGTATTATCTCTTCATATCATCCCGGTGAGTTAGGTATTATTATCCTACTGTAGAGATTTACATCTAAAGCTTAGAAAGGTTAAGTGACTTGTTCAAGATCAAATAGCTAATAAGTGTAAGACCTGAGATTCCAGTCCAACTGCATGCAGTGAGCTAAGTGGTCAGTGCAGGTAAGGTGCAGTCATTTTAGGAGATTTTATTTTATTGAAGATTAAATTATATCTGTAACGAGATATTTTAGAGCTTCTTACTATTTTAAATTGCCTGCTTTGTTAACTCCTTGATCATCCTGCATTGTCAGTTTGACTAAAAATAATTCATAGATTGGTCAGCTGATTTCTGTTTAATTTTTTTCTTTAAAATAATACTTGAAGGATTTTAAAATAATGCTTTATCACAATAAGAGGAAGAGGCTTGAAGAAAAACTAGATAGTGATTCCCTTATCATTTATTCCTTTGTTCACTCAGCCAATACTGAGTGAACACCTTCTGTGAGCCACGCACTGGGTATGAAGACTGTTGAATAAACATGGCCCCTTCCCTCATGGCCATTACAACAAAATGCATATATTGCATCAAGGTAAGGTCTGAAGACAGCAAGAGAATAAGATGGGATCTCTTTCCAGAACAGGAAACTCAATTGATAAACTCAGTTGGGAGATAAGTCTATGCATAAAAACTACTAGAGTGCATTTACATCTTAGAGGTTGTATGGACTTAATGCTGCCTGCAGTTCTTAATCGTGGTATCCTACTGCTTACTGTGGGAAGAAGGGCTGGCTTCATAGCCCTGGATACCCTGGGTGATTTCCATACTGGCCTGTGTATGTACAGTACTGGTGGGAATGGGCTCATATGAACAGTGTCTGGAAGGTAAAGGTAAAGGTAAAGGTTGCCCCGCCTGACATAGACCATAAATGCTATTATAGTTTAAAGAAGTTTAAAGAAGAATGATCGTGGGCCCCAGGAGTGGTCAGGGAAAGGTTTGTGAAGGTCACAGGGATTGAATTGGGCCTTTATAGCATTTCATTAGTATTCTTTTTAGGTGTCAAGTACAATTTTAAGTATGGAGGATAGAGTAATTAGCAAAACAGACAAGACCCCTGTTCTCATAGATCTTACAGTTTAGGGGGGCATGCAATAGAGACATTTGTAAGGTTATTCCCCATAGTGTTAAATGTAATGAAGACAATTAAAAAAACAATGTTGGAGAGAATGGTGGCGGGTGCTGCCGGTGGTGGTGAGACTTTATTTTGGATAGGAGGGAAGACTGTCTCTGAGGTTACACTTGAATGAAACCTGAGTGTTGAAAAGGAGCTGGCCATTAAGTGTGGAAGAGTTAATGGGCAAAGCCATAAAGATGAGGTGACGCATTCTATGGGAGTTTATCCATTGAAGAGCTGTACCCTGTAAGGGCATGGACGGAGCAGAGGCTGAAAGGTGTAGGTTAGTGCCAAATCATGGAGGATCTTGAATGTCAGAATAAGGCCAGAATTAGGACTTTTTGTTTCTATGCATATATTAGGGGATGAGTAGTTAGAAGAGAGAAGGAGAATCAAGATGAGTATATGCCATAGAAGCTTAAGGAAACTTGTGCAGCTGGGGCCTTGAAGTTTAGGGACACCCTAAATAACATAGTGTCCCAGTCACTTCCTGTTGGAAGTTGAATGTAGTCCTAAAGTGAGGCCTACATGGTGGTGCTCCGTTGACTGTTTCAAATCAGGGGGATTCAGAATTGTCCTACAAATAAGGTTGTGGAGGTCTTGACAAAGGTAAGCTACAACCCAGTGTCAGGGACTGTGCTTATTAAGGTAATGTTTTCTAAGTAAGGTATGATGTAACAGATTCCTTTTGTGGTAATTCCCCTTGGAACCAAAAACTAATTGTATTTTTATTAAAGTAAAGGGACATTCTTTACGTTACAAGATGTTTTTGTGAAAGGAAAAAGTTAAAGGTTTGATTCAGTTCATATTGGTAGATAAAAGAGGTGTGTTAAAGCCTCATTTTTGGAATAACTATCTTATTTACTAAAGGAAAATTTGCCCCAAATGTTGATATAATTCTGTAGAGAAATGTGTTTGGGCAGTGAAGGGATTCCTGGCAGTGACTGAGAAACACAGTAATGGGGAACTGCACTTGATCGCTTTTGAGGTTGATTCTGATGTGTGTAGTCTTTACATCCTATTAAAACTTTGAAAGATAAACTGATACAAGAAGGATTTGCCAAGGCCAGCAACTCTTCCTTTTAAAACCTTGGCTCAGTGTACACATTGAAGGGATGGGGGAGTAAGATAAAAGCATTATAAATACGAGGTTAACTGAATTCAAATAGAAGGTTCTCTCAAGTTATTGCATTCCTTAGAAAATAAATACATTACGCATATGGTTAAGATTGATCAAAAAAGTATTCAGTATGCCAGTGATTACATTCCCATCTGTGATTAAGGTTTTCTGTCTGCATCTGGTTTTCACATTATATTTCTGTAACAAAAATCCTTTATATAGCAGAGTTCACTTTCTGTATTTTCTATTAGCTGCAGCTTGAACTACTGCACAGATCGCAGATTTACACATGTGGTTTTCATTACTTCATACCATTGAGAAAAAGTAATATTTGTTTGGGAATGTCTGTTTTCCACAATTTCCATGGTAATACAACATGTTGAGCCTTTTTAATAACACTCTTGTAGAACTACAAATTGTTTTAGGCATTCTCCTCTTGGTAGAGTTTAGCTTTTAAACTGGTCTCAGTATATGTTCCCCTCATAATGAGGTCTTACAAATTTGAGGGCTTAGGATTGGAACAAAGCAATTATTAAAGATAGAGAAATTTTACTTTTGATTGCATGTGATACGGACTTCAGTGTGGAATAAGTATCACAAATAATCTGGATGTATATTTCATAGTGCTCATTACCATTACTCATTTTATCGTTATTTTATATCAGAAGATCATTTATTATGTTGGAGGTATGAAGAACAAACATAATACTCCAAAGTCATTATTTTGAAAAATCTAAACATTAACTCCTTGTTTTTTTTTGGTGAGTTATCCTATTGATTGTGATATAATGTTTCATATATAAAAATAGTTGAATGAGGAAAATCATCAGTGGGTAACTTGAGGTTTACATTGTGTATTACTTGAATGTGTATTTGTATGCCATGTTAACATTTAAGAATTTATAAACGTACATTTAAAATATTTTGTAATACTATCTTCCTGCCAACTTTTCTCCATTCACTTCAGTATACTCCGATTAAAATAGACACAAGTGAAGTTAAAAAGTGAAATATTCTATATTGGGAGATCATTTATAATTGAGAAATTTATCTTATAAAGGAAGTTTATCCACATGGTAATTTTATGTGCCTCAAAACTGAGATCCATTATACCATTTTTGATAATAAACCGAGACATTAGTCTTGTATTTAGCAGTCATGAGAAGGAAGAAAAAGACTAGACTCTAGGGGATTTGTATATACTTGGCCGCCTTCATTTGTTTAATGGAGATTATTAAATGTGGCCCACACAGGTAGACTCTACTTTATCAGTCTCTGCGATGCCTTTTGTTGATGGTTGTTGAGGCACTAAATATTATCAAAAATCATGATTGAATCTAAGAAAAGTATCCATTTTCTTCTTTTTCCCAATAATACTTATTTATCCTCTATTTACAAAATATATATTTTTTATCTCAGCGTAGAGACATTGGAAATTCCAGAATTGTGTAGAAAATTACCCATATTTCCATTTTCTGGAAATAATAATATTTGACATCTAGATGTATTTACTTCCAGTCTCCCCTCCTTGGCCCTGTTTAAGTTTTTCTGTTAAGAATGAGAAACATTGATTGCATGATAGCAGAGTCACAATATGGTGTATAAAGGGCATTGCTTTTCTTTTTTTAAAATAGAAACTGCTTGTTTATATACATCAGAGTATGTATATTCACCAATTTTAATTTCTAGGGAGTAGTTTGGTCTCTTAAAAAAACAGTAGCAACATCCTTAGTAATATTTTTTGAGACTGCTTTTATAAATCTATCCCTTTGCATTTATTGAGTTATTACTTTATGTGCATATGATTGTGCTAGATTTATGTTTCATAGATTATAAGAACTAAATAGTGATACTTGTTCTATTCATAATAGTGGTGGTAGTAGTAATAGTAGGTGTTCGGGAATGAATGAATGAATTCTAAACCTGCCAAATCTAGCAGGAAAAATGAGAATATTTGGATTGCTTTAGAAGAAAAAAAGAAAGAAGTTTGTTTATTTGGTAAAATGCTTCACTAATAATTGTTGTTACTAATAATTTCAAACTGGTTGGTTGCATAAAGATTATTAGTTACCGTTAACACTTGTTTCAGATTATTTTAGCTAATGATGGCAATGTGTAAATTTCAGAACAGTGAAAACAATATTGACACCACTTTGTTTTGAAACACTATTTAACTTGCACTTAAAATTCCAAAAAATAAAATAAATAACACAGTGTCTCAAAGCATTTTCTAAAGAAACCATATCTGATAGATAATTTAATTTTTAAAAAATAAAACAGGTAAAATCTAACACATTGTTTTAAGGTATTGATGTATGTATATTTTAGACCCGACTTAAGGAAAGAGGAGTTGTGTCCAGCTTTGAGTCAGATGATTGGAGAATTAAGAACCCTATAGGACATGTCACTGCAGGAACTCTGAAAATACTTTCTGTTTTGGATTTTTCTAAAATTTAGAAGGGCTTGTATCTGTTTCTTAAACAAAACAAAACTGGCCTAGTATTAGCGTGTAAGTAGATGGGTGTGATACTTCTGACTGGTTGTGATATATGCGTTTTTTTTCCTTTTGTTGTTGTCAATAGAAAAGATTGATCTCTGGGCTGGTGAACATAATATCTGTCCCAGTCAGAAAAGGAGAGAGGAAATTAGCAGAGCGATTGGTGGAGAATGATATCTGTCAAAAGAAACACTTGGAGAGCACTGAGTTTAGTAATAGGTGACTGCCGGAAAAAAGGGAACTTTGAATATTGTCAAGGTAAGGAACAGACAAATATTTTGACTTTGCAATTTACTTACATGCCAAAAATCAATCTACTATTTTCTTCCTAATAAATTAGACTTGTGAAGATTTTTCTTTTCTTTTCCTTACTTCTTCTTCTAGTGCCTGTTGATAACGAATTTGTATTATATATTTAAAAAATCTGTCTTTGAAATCCTTGGATGTGGGATTGGGTGGTGATCAGTCAGCCTGGCTGTGGGAGCCCTTGTTTGATAGCTTTGGGTCTGAAGATAGCAAATGATCAAGTACCAATTTTTTTTTTTAACCCCTTTTCTTGTTGCTGTGCTTCTTGCCATGTTTCATAATACATCTGTTATAAGCTGAGCAATACTTGGAGTTAAAGAGTAAAAGCTATGTCATGATTTCTGTGTTTACTGCAACTAGAGATGGTATTTTCTGAAGCAGTTTGTTGACTAAAGAGGGAAAAAAGTGCTTTTCCATTTATTATTTCTTCTGTTTGATTTGGATATTTTTTTAAACTTGTAGGTGAATATCATTTCCTAAGCAGAATTCATGTCCATAGGCACGTTTAAAAATAAAAAGGTCTAACTTTAGGAAAACAGCAAAATGTACACTGTTTCCCATTTGGCAAGTGACTTCTTAAAGTCTGCAACATTTAAAAATTAAGGAGAGCCCTGCATTATGGGTTCCAGAGAGTTGATGCCTCCTGCAGCCAGCTCTGTTTCAGTTTTAGTGGACTTGTGCAGAAGCACAGATGAATAAAGTTAAATTGTGCTAAGAAAGAATTGAGAGTTAACACAAACGTTGTGTGATACAGGTTGGCACTCTTAGTGGTTAGGTGGGGATTTTTGAAGTTCTGTGACTGCCTGCCTGACTACATGGAAAAGGTAGTAGCAAAATATTTACCCTTCATGGCCATTGTTCTGGAAACATAGCTGCTGGTGTCCCCCCGCCCACATAACTTCTACTCTTGCAGTTCCTACAAAGGCTTATTGACTTTTTCTTAAAGTTCCCAAGAAGGTGTTGGCAATTGACGGTGTTTTGTTTTTGAAAGACCAGAGAAAATGAAATGATTCCCTGTATAATTATAGGCTCCTTTGAGATAGCCTAAGTCATGATTTGGTTTCTGTCTGTATTTCTCTTCCTTTCATTCCTCCATCTTCATAATATGATGTTCTTCTACTGTAATTAGTGAGAGACATAAATTTGAGAGAGAAGACGAGGAATTCAAAAATTTATTAAGTAATTGAGACATCTCTCACCTCTGCTTCTGTCTTTGTACCTGTGTACTATTGATAATAAAAATAAATTTTTTGAGAACTCAAATCTTGGTTGATTAGATTTCTCAAGTCCAGCATAGAAGAAAAGTTGTTAATATCTTAAAGGAAACAAACATAATAATAACAACAACCACGCTTGCTTTAGAATTGCTTTCTCTTCATCTTCCATCAGAAGAAAGCACTTTGTTTCAAAGAGGGTATAATTCTCTGCTTTCTGCCTTACGTATCTCTGTGTGTGGGGGGGAGTGACAGTATGATAAAAATATATAAGGTGCAGATTGCAAATTGAAAAGAATATTGGATTTTTAAAACTTGAGCATATATTGCAGATACATAGTGTCATCGTCTTTACCCACCCCTATCCCATTACAACAGTATTCTCTCCTGGTCATGTGGCATATCTCTGTGGGCTGCAGACACAGAGGACCATTGCAGCATGGAAGATCCATATTGAGAGCAAAAATGCATGACAGAGATACATTTTAAAACAAGTTTAATGCACATTATTTGTTATAATATGCAAATACCGATCCTGAGTATCATGTATCAAAAACACCATGTTGAGTTTCTTCTCTCTCTCGCTTTCTTGTGTGTGTGGGTGTACATACTTAAAAAATGATGTGTGTGCGCACACACGTATATATACATATATATATGTACATGTAAGTATATAATTGTGTGTGTTGGCCTATTTTATAACTGTTGAGTTTTCTTTATGATTCATGTGGCATTGAAAAATTTACTCCTAGTTTTTTCTTTTTTGTGATGGTAGTGGGTGTATATAGGTATGGGGTTTAGACTCAGGTTGAGCCAAAAAGTAGAGAAAAACAGAAATCACATACTTTAAATTTACAAGCATGGAGTCCATTGGATTCTTGGGGATATAATTTGGAAGCAGAAAAAGCAAAGAACTATATGAAATTGAGCAGTTGTGGCAGTAAGAGACAGTGACCTGAGGTGGTGCCAGAGAGTCTGGTCCCTGTGATGAGTCTGAAGCAAGGCAGGGGTCACCAGGAGACAAGCCTGTCTCTTTTGGGTGGCCAGGGGAGAAATGATGCCTTAGGGACAGTCACCAGCTTAGCTGGAAGCTGATAAAGGCAAAACGCTGCTATGTTTCCTCCCAGTATTTTAAAGCATATCCAAAATATGCACAACGTTCACTTTTCTAGAATTCTGTTATGTGTGTCTTTGTGAGGAGTGAGTGGATTTGGGACAGTTAGGAGTGGTATCCAGCTTGAGGAGCTTGCTTTTAAAAGCCATTAAGGAAAATACTAAGAAGGGTCCAATATTTGTCATATAAAAAAGTTAATTGGCCATCTAAAAGATGCAAGAACATTAGCAGGGAAGCAGTTATGACAGAGGAAACTTGTTGCAAAGTGGTATGTATTTATGTTTGAATCATGGGATGGGATATTTATGTAGTACCAATTTTTAGATATTGTGAGATATTTAAAAATAAAAACATTTAATTTAGATGATGCTGTGCACCTTCAAATATTGGTATCTTTATTAGGAAAAGAAGAAAGTTATTTTCTTAAGCAAAACTGCTGGGTTTTGAGAGCGTTCGCCTATATTTTTAGTCTTTCTTGGTCATGTTTGAGGGGTCTGATAGTATTAATGGGCTTTACCCCACACGGAGCTTTGAGCTTATTGTAGCACTGCACACTGATCCCAGGTCAGTGTGATGCGTGAAATCAATTTATTTGAATCTCTTTGCCTCTATAGGAATTTGGCAGCATGCCAGTTGTTTTCATTTAATGTTCTTTGTGTTGAACACAGACAAGCAGGCATGCTTTTGTATTCATCTTTCTTTTGGTCTCTGTCTCTTTCAGCCAATATTTTACTCTATGGATTTTGAGATGAAGGAAGAATATATTATTTATATGATTCTAATCATTACTTAATGTGTGTGTGTGCTACTTTCTTATCTTTTAAGGGATTTTTAAAAATATTCCTGAGTTTTAAGGGTGACTTTCTTTGTAGAGAAGAAATAGTTTTTTAAAAATAACATTTTTGATGAAACATAATAAACCAGATCATAGGTGGTATTTACTTACCATCATGCTCATTATCAAAACTGAAAATAACAATATTAATTACACTATACAACAGATGTTTAATTTGGGAACTGGATTATCAAAATCACTTCTTGGGGAGCTTTTTGAATGTAAAGATTCATACTTTAATCAAGCACACGCTAAAGAAAAAAATATTATCTGGGTATTATTATCTTTGAATAATCCGTGTTGATTAAGATGCCAGTGTTTTACATAGATTTGTTGTTATATGTGATTTTTTTACAAAATTCCTGCCATTAGGGAAATTTTTTGCTCTTAAAATTTGGAGGGTCATGACAGGGAACAGCACAGAGGTTTTTACGACAAATAGACCTTTCTGTGGATGTTTTTGTAGGGAGGATTTGTTTCTGGGTCAGCTTTAGGAAAAGGTGGAGAAGGAAACGAGAGAGAGTGAGAGGAGAATGCTCTGTTGATGCTCCGGGCAGTTCTTGCGGAAGTTGATATGCAGAACCAGGGAGCCGCGGCTTCGGGGTCAGGCTCATACCCAGCAGCCCTGCTTACTTGTTTAATTACCTGAAGAGCAAAACAGTCAGCCGGAGAGTGTGTGAAAGCCCAGTATCTCTGCAGCCGCCTGGCGCTCTGACATCCTGCAAGGCCAGCCCTGTCTGTCCGCCAGCGTCAAGCTGGCTCCCGCCCTGGGTTCCTTTCTTTCTGGAGGCATTGTGTGGAAGAGGGTTTGGTCAGGAATTTGAGGTTCCTGCCAGTGCTGTGTCCCTGCTCTTTCTTTCTGGACTACGGTGACAGACATGCTTGATATATATATATATTTTTTTCTTAATGGGTTTAAAAATCTGTCTTTTTCATTTTACACCCTGGCCTTGCTATATGAAACAATATCTCTATCAACAGCAACAGACATTAACCAGTGCAGGACTGGCCTCAGTTAATGGGTTCTCATTTTCCTAATTCCTGTTATTTAGTGTCCTTCGTGTGTTGCCTTTTTAGGTCAGATTCACTGGTAGTTTGGTGTGGTACTAGCAATTAAGGTTGTTTTTTTGTGAGGCAGTTTTGGAATCTTAATCTGTCCATGAAAACAGAATAGTCCATTTTTAAACAAAGGTGATAGAACCTTTAAGGTTGGATTTTTTCCTTTCCCTGGAATTTAAATATGGATGTGGACATTTGCTGTGGGAAGGGCCATACCCTTTGAAGAAGCTGAGGGTGGTGAGAAATATTATTTGGAATGTGTGGCCAATTTGACAGTAGTATAGGGTACTCTGAGGAATGCTTGGAGATGGAGCCATTTGGGAGATCCCCAGAGTATAACAAGATGTTATGTTGCCAAGAGGAAATCCAGCAGGTTCTTTATGCACAGGGTGGGCTGGTGAAATGTCTGCACTGTGGGTGGGGGAGCAAAGGTGGTGGTGGTGGTGTTTCCTGCAGAGGGAGGGGAAAGTGTGACTACATGTGCAGTGATTTGGTTTTTCCAGCTACTTCATTAGGATTCTGTCATGCAGACTTCAGGGCATTTACCCTTTAGATGCACATATGTGCATCCCATTAATGTTAATAGGAGTTGCCGTCAAGTAAAGAGAGCAGCAGTGTGTACCTGTGTTCTGTATGAGCACAGCTCCAGGGGATTGATTCCATTCTTTGCAAAGAATAAAGGAATTGGACTTTGCAGGGAGGAGTTTGGTAGGAATTATTCTAAAAACTT